TCATTAGTAGGATACAATTAATACTTTTTTGAGTATTTCCTTGTATGTATACTTGTTGATGTTTGCATAAGACTGTTTTGGTGTGACCTTATATTTAGTGAGTGTTAAGTTCAATCACTATTAGTAGCTATTAATCCTTTTTTGATTATTTCCTTGTATGTATACTTGTTTATGTTTGCATAAGACTGTTTTGGTGTGACTTTATATTTAGTAAGTGTATAACTTTAGTCACTATCAGTAGTTATTAATACTTTTTTGAGTATTTCCTTATATGTATACTTGTTTATGTTTACATCTTAGGCAAAAGCAAGAGAAAGACCAAGGAAGGATGGTGGACCGCCAAGAAAAAAAACTCAAGCTCCATGTGGTGATCCTACCCAACCTAAAAGACCAAGAGGAAGGCCAGTAAAGAGTGCTTCTTCTAGTGCTTCAAGACAAACAATACCCAACGGATGGGGAGTTTACTATGGTGATGATGCAAGAGTTTACCTGAACGTAAGTGGTACACAATTAAAGTATTACAACAACTTTATCAAATTAACTAATGTAATGTTAATACTAATTTTTTCAGCCAGGACAATGGGGTGGTAATGTGATGTCCCAAACATCTTCAGCTCCAACAACTTCTCACCCATCTCAGACATGATGTAGTAGGGTGTGAACCGCCTGAAGTATCTGCCTATAGTTGTGATTTTGAAGTTGAAAGTTGGGATTTTTTCTGCATGAAGACAACATGTAGTTATGGTCCTTTTTTTGTCTAAAGTTAAGTTCCTCTTTGTAAGCTTACTGGAACTTGTTAAGGTCTCTTTTTGGTGTGATGGTAAAGGCCAATGTCCAGTCTGTTTTTGCCTATAGTATATTTATGTGCATCTGTGCAAACCTCATCTTTGGTTCATGCTAAAGGCCATGTTTTGCTTTCTGTTTTGCTATGTAAAAACCTTCACAATTATGTTTAACAACATCAGATTGGACATGTTTGAGTGCAGACAAGTTCAAAGTACTTGCAAATGAGCCACTCACATTTCGATTAAGAAGAGTTCAAATTTATTACTTGCATGTAAATTTGAAATAGAATTTCAACAAGGAAGATCTCCATGTATGCCAGGGATTCGGTTTTCTGCTGCTATTTGAAATAGAGTTTCCGCTTTGGAGCTTTAAGGGAATCTAATTTTTTCCAGGGATTCAATTTTCTGCTGCATATGCAGCATGTCCTCATCTGGTTCCTGTTCCACTTAGGAACATAATGAAGCAAATATAGAGCAGTCCATTCATTTGAATAAATAGCAGCAGAGTCATGCTAAATAGCAGCAGTAACGGGTAAATAGGGTGCAAATACATTGCTAAGAAGAAACGCCACAAATACATCTCTATTAAAGTCTCCACAAAGCACACTCATGTTGAACAACTATCAGGAAGATCATTCTAAATTGGAGCAACAGAGTCATACTAAATATCAGTACAAACGGGTAAAATATATAGCTAAATAGTAGTAGGCTTGAGCTAAATATATATAACCACACTCATGTAAAATAACTACCACGAAGCTCATGCTAAATTTGAGCAGCAGAAACATGGTCTTTAGTTCACATGATAAATAGATCACAAATAAGCACATATTTATCATACACTCATGCTAAACATACCACAAAGTCAAGCACACTCATGAAAGGATCACAAAGCTAAGCTTCACCCAAAAAAGACATATCACTAGAAATACATTTCATATTATAATATGGCTTCGTTTGGTTGTACATTTCATAAGAATAGAAATTACTTCAAATAGGACTAAAACTATGGCAAAAACTCAAAATAGGACTTGCTATGTTTTTTTTTTTCAAAATAGGACCATAGTGGTCCTATTGGAAACATACTCATTTCTTCCTTCCATTCTTACCCCTCCTTTAAATATTAGTAAAAGATAGCTAAAAGTCATAATTAAATGTTTAATTCATAATAAATTCGAAAAAATTTCAATAATTCGTAGAAAAATAATAAAAAAATTAATAAAATTTTTATAAAATAAAAAATAAGAATTTTTTTTTTAATTTTTCTTTTTTTTAAAAATTAATAAAAAAATAGTAAAACTCCATAAAAAAAATTAAAAAAAATATGGATATGTTTCCCACCGCCTGTACTACCTCCCTGAACCACCACCTCCGATCGGTGTAAAAAATGCCACTTTTTTTTTTAAATTCCACAAAAATGGCATATTTCTCTATGAGAATGCCAACATTTTCATTCTGCCAACTTGAATCCTTTTGACTTTTGCCAAAAATATGGCATTCATAATTTTTTTGGCATTTTTTTACCCCGGTGACAGGAGGTGGTGGTACCGCCTCCCTGCACCACCACCTCCGACCGTTAAAAAAAAATGTCACATTTCCTACAAACTTCCATTTTTTTCGGAAAATGCCAAAAATATGGCATATTTCTCTTTGAGAATGCCAACATTTTTTTTCTTCCATCTTAAATCATTCTGAATTATGCCAAAAATATGGAATTCATAATAAATTTGGCATTTTTTCCCCAAATGACTAGAGGTGGTGGTGCTGGGGCGGTATAGGCGGCGGTGACAAAAAAAATATTTTTTTGATTTTTTTTAATTTTTTTTTTATTTTTTTATTTTTTATTTTTTTAATTTTTTTTTTAAATTTATTATTATTCAGAATATTTTTATTAATTTTTTGGTATATTTTACGAATTTTTATTATTTTTTATTATTTTATTATGAATTAAAACATTCCAATAGGTATAAGGGTATATTTGTCCAAGACAAACATAATTAGTCCTATGGAAATATAGTTTATTTTTTAGTCCTATTTGTGCAAAGTGAATGACTTTTAGTCCTATTTTGATAATTAACTCTTCATAAGAATGACATGTTATAGAAACACAACATTCTAGCCAGTACACATTCTAACATTAGCTTAGACTTTTCTCACAACAATTGAGCCAATTGATACAATTATACAAATTAAAACAAATCCAACTATTACAAATTTAGCTACTACTCTTTCAATCTCTGCTTTTGATACATGGGTGCCTTTCATTTTCTCCAACTCTACTTCTACCATCAACAATTTCTTCTTAACATCTTTGTTCTTTTCTTTTAGTTTTTCCACTTTCATCTGAAGTGTTTCTTTCTCTTCTTGCCTTGTCTGGAACATATAAGTCGAGCACTCATCAGGAAATCTTCCATTTTCTATTTCTCTGCCAAATGTGACAACCCGACTTCTAGATTGTAAATGCTTACATTCCTCAATAAGTTGATCATCTTTCCTCTTCAACCAATTAATTACTTCTATTGCTCGAGAACCATATTCTTCTTTGTCAAACCACTCAAAGTACTTACAATCATTGACCTATACAATATACAATCCAACATCAAAAACAATGAAAATGTTTTTCCAAATCTTAATTCCCGAAATATAAAGCATTATTGACTCATACCTTCCACTGAGAGCATCTGTGAAATCGTCGACCATGGTTCTTTCCTTCCTTTGATGTAATTACAAGGTTAGCAAGGATATTGTGATAGCAATACTTTACATTTTCACTTGAATTCCCTAACCCTTTTCTTCCTAGCGACGAGCTTCCAGTGCAAGACACGCGTCTTTGTCCTGAGTAATGGTCGCTCATCTTCTTCACGCTCGCAGCTTCTTTCATAGCATGACCTGAAATTAGGGTTTTTCACCTAGGATGTAAGAGACAACTAGAGGAGATGCATCAGCTATCACAGATTCACAGATATAACTATACGCAAAGCTTACGTGGATGTGTATCTCTCAGCGACAAATATTTCTCAAGCCTTCAAAGTCTAGTAGGTAGTCATCGTTCTCCCAATCTCGTCTCTAGAAAGCTATTACGCACAGAGGTACGAAGCTTTGATTTTTTCTTCCGTTGAAGCTCTGCTAAATAGGAACAATTAACTTTTACCTTTTAAAATTGAAATAATTATACAAATATGACCAAAATAAAGATGGTTTACAAAAATTGATTATTGACTAGAGTAGTAATGAAATCATAGTAATTCATGTTCAAGTTTTGAGCTTAAGTTACCACAACACCACATTGTAGTAATGAATAGTCATATTTATGTAAATATGTTTTATTTTAGTAATATTCTTGTAAAAAAACCCTTTAAAATCGGCCATGTAACAGTAAACCCGTTGCCAATGGATTATTTTTCCATTTAGACGCTTACATTAGCGGGTGGGGTGCCGGTATCTCATACTTCCTCCGTTCTTTAATTCTTGCAACATTGTGATTTTACATTATTCACAGACCTTACTTTGATCACAATTTGCTACTAATATACATAAGCAAATTATTACGTATAAAATGTTATTGAATTCCTATCAATATGAATTTTCAAAATATCAACTTTTTATAGTGTTTATTAATACATAATTAAGTATACTTACAGTCAAAGTTGTGCATTGATAAGCGTGAAAGTCAAACTGTTTCAAGAATTAAAGAACGGAGGATAGTATTAGTTAAAGGAGGGGTATTTAATTAACAAAGACAAGTTCGGGATAGGGATATCAATATTTAGTCAAACTGTTTCAGGGTATTTTATTTATTTTCTCGTTTAACATACGAAAATAGGTGGAGGAAGAGTGAAGACCGGCAGGTCTTCCTCCGCAACAAACACAACTCTCAGCTTCTATAGACTTCCTCCGCAACGTCTATCGTTGGGTGTGGGTAATCCGCAGCAGGGCAACATCTTAAAAAGGTAGGGTTGAGCGTCGGCGGTCGTGAAGCTCTTTGCTTCGAATTTCTTCTAGGCGGCCGGAAGCTCTTTGGCTTCTCGGTAAGACTTTACCCGCGTCTAGAGAATATGTTTGAGGATGGCCTTCAAGCTCAATCTGAAGCTCCTTACATGGCTGTTTCTTCCTGCATTCATGCTCATCGTCCTCTACGCAGCATTTATTCCTCTTCGCGCTCCCTCCACACAATATCCATATCCTGACCTTCCTGTTCCGTGTAATCCATTCCACGGAAAATGGGTGATCGATCCGACTCGGAAACCCATGTACGACGAGAGGTGCCCCTTCCACCGGAACGCATGGAATTGCCTCCGAAACCAGAGACAGAACATGGCTCGAATCAATTCCTGGAAGTGGGTGCCTGAAGGTTGTGATTTGCCTCGGATTGACCCCGCTGGTTTCTTGAGTAGGATGAGGAATCGGAACATAGGATTTGTAGGGGACTCGTTGAACGAGAATTTCTTGGTTTCTTTTCTATGCATATTGAGAGTAGGTGATGAGGGTGCCAGGAAGTGGAAGAGGAAAGGGGCTTGGAGAGGGGCATATTTCCCCAAATTTAATGTCACCATCGGATACCACCGCGCTGTATTGCTGGCAAAATATGGGTATGTGAGTCACGTGTCTTACAGAGAATCAAGTTTTTTCTTTTTCATGGCCCAACTTCTGAATCCTTTTTTCCTTATTGCAATTCGATTTTATTGAAGCAAGTGGATTCCTATGTTACTGAGTTTTCTACTTTTGCGTTCATGTACTCTGCTCTAAAAATACTGCCTTGCTCAATTAGGCGCTTATTAAGTCATCTTTTACATCCATAAAACATAACAGGCACATTCTAACAGGTAAAGACTTCACTAAAACCCCAAATTGCAAGTCATTTGAACCTAGTAAACCTAAAACTAGGCAGACAAACTTCAAAATTGACTTACTTTAACGAGCTGCCATCACCAGGTCAGCCCATCGATTTGATAAAATATGAGTCCTGAACTAGCCTGGTTAGACCTTTACTAAGCTCCTCCTAAGCCCAATTTGATGCTAGGCCCAATATATTGCCCAGAAGCCACTTAATGCCATCTAAAATAATGTTCTTGCTTCCTCTTGACTTATACTAAGATTCAACACTCGCATACTTTTCAATTCATTCTGAAGATGTAACTTTGGTTGATTGAAGTTGGAAGGTGAAGGGGGTTGCTTCTTTTACTGAAGATGGAAGGAAGAAGGGAGCTCATAGAGTAGATGTTGATATTCCTGCAGATGATTGGGCACACATTTCTGGTTTTTATGATGTGCTTGTGTTTAACACTGGCCACTGGTAAACTCTTCGTCTTTTACCTTGCTGAACTGCTTCATTGTTATTATTGTTTCAACTGTTAAGGTCATTGCTTCTATTCTGGATTTGCAAATGATCTAGTCACTTTTGCAGTCAGAAGATTGTGAATTCTTTTCTAGAATACAATCTTGCCCACCTGCCAGGCTGCCACAACTTAATACTTATAATGTTATTACATGTCTTCTGCTCTAACCATTGATTGGTTCAAACTATAGTAGGGACGGAAAATTGGTGGAAGGGAAATGGAATAATAGTATAATGGAGGAGGTTACAAATTTATTATGTTTGGTCCAGAGGAACTATAGTTTTGAAAATATACTCCCCCCATCCCATAAAAGAACCAAGGTTTGAAATTGTGAAATTGGTGGTTTGAATTAGAGGTCATCAAAAATAACAATGCGCCAACCTTACCATATGGAAAAATAAACCACTAGGAGAATCTTACGTATTGTGCAAGCTTCATTGCATAATGAGGCGTACAATATATATATATATATATATATATATATATATATATATATATATATATATATATATATATATATATATATATATATATATATGTACTAGTTGTACGACGCACGTTGCGCGACGGGAAAATGCCCAATTGATTGTTGTAGCTATAATATTAGAATATGTTGATAGATTACACAAGGGAAACATTGAATAGTTATATACTATAGTAAAATTTAAAAGGATGCATACAAAATTGTTGATGCAAACTCTATACGTGTACAATCCTCTATCAAAACAATACCAAAGGCAAAATTAGCCACTCATGTATCGTAGGTACAGACACGCCCGGCTCCAGCCCCCGACCTGGTGGTCCTGTAAAAAAACATAATAAAACTTATGACTTTATTTTATGTATTCCCAAGGCCACAACTGGTAGAGGAGGTAGGCTAGAGCCACACAATCATTATGATTTCCTAATTTTTTTTATAATGACGACAATGAATATCCAATCATATTTACATAGTTTATAAAAACCATCAAATTCTGAAGCGAAGGATAACTTTGAAATCACTTACAGACCAAGCAAATGAGCATCTACAATTGATGAGTGTTAAAGTCAATTAACAAGGCGCACACACGAATACCATAAGTAAATTCACGGATTCACCAAACTGACACTATATAGTCCGTATAAGACACATGCAGTTTAAATTACATCACATTAATCAATTTGTTACTATTTTTTCTTTTCCAGACAAATAAAAATAATTTTTAGCAGAATACAATATCGTCTTATTATTACAAGACTACTAACTTTCTATTTGTATCCATTGATTTATAAAGTTGTACACTGCATCTGAGTCAGGTCGTTTGAGTCACCCATTTGATAATCCACTATAGTACTTACATAGTGAAAATTATAGGGCCTAGTCCAGTGTCCAGCTAAACAAGGTTTATTTGCATTTATATACAAACAAATGGTAATTAAAGAATGAATTCTTTCCTATTTACCGGGCCTAGTCCAGAGTTATATTTAGGTAGTGAAATTTGATATAAGCTCATCAACACATAACCAATGACATTTTCTACTCAAACTTTAATCCAAACTATCAAAGCTTACTTGGTTTAGTGGGCTTCGGGTCTTCCGAATCAATTCAACCTTAAAAAAATATGTGTTAAAAACAAGATAAATAAAGACAATTAGAGTAACTCAATATACCAAACTTGGCATCCTTGAATATTACTCTGATGGAGAAGCAAAAACCGGTACCAGCCTTACATACAACAACAGTAGTAAACTATTGTAGTATAAAACAACTGATCGAGTAGACAGAAAACAGCATATCCGTCCAGAATAGAAACGGCCAAAAGCGTATATTGTATGCCAAAACAGGACGGGAATGGTTGGACACCACATTTCCTACCTACGGAGCATGGATAAAATCTCCAAGGGAACATGCATTAGTTAAATAGTAGTTTTCTGAGTGTGAAGCTATTTTTTCATTAAAAAAACATAGTGTAGGTGACTCAAGATTAAAATAATGCAACCTCAAATTTTTCTACTTGATCACAAAGGGATTATGTTTGACTTATAGAAGTCATGTATGCATCAATCCTGCCAAAAGAAAGCAATAGGTAGGAATTTTTTATTAAAAAAATCACACTAATTGACATGGATTAACTAATTTGTTGTATGAAAAAGTTACAAATGTATTTGTTATAATAGACAAAATTAGAAAAAGTGTAATGTTGAATAAAGCGGTAGCTAACCTTGATTTCAACTTAACAACAACAAAAACCTTTTTTCCATCAACAAAATCATAGAAATATCTATGTAGTTTCTAAAAAAGACATCCATTGCTTATTCTGAAATAGGAATATGTCCCGTGGGAAAATTAAAACTAACTACTAAGAGTACAACATAAATAATTTTAATTAGACTAACAACAAAAATCATATAAAGCTGTAGCTATGAAGTATTACTTTGTTAGGCGTTAGCCTAAGTTTTGTCTAAACTACTAAATCTTAGAACGCTTCCACTATAACATAAAATATGGAAACACCGAATACTACGGTATAATTTTTCTGTTTGCACAATTAACATCACAACCTTAAAAGTAAATAGAATGGAAATAAGAGAAGAAAAGCTTTTATAAATAGTCTTTCACAATTTCATCTGAATTTTAGAGTAACTTCAACCAACTCAATGTTTGGACTGTCTCAGGGGGAGGTAGTAACTTAGAGTTTTAATAGCTCTCATGTCAAATACATAATTGGTTAGCAAGAATGTAATTAGTAATCCGGAGCTCCAAGGGGAACTCAACCTCCATATCATGGTCAAAAACTTCTTTCATTGCAGACCCACTTTAACTTTAACTATTGAACTATCGAAGTATTAAAAGTATTAAAAGTACTAAAAGAGTGTCATGCAAACATGCAGCTATCAAACTTAAACTCTTAAGTTTGATAGCTTTTGATAGCCCCTAAATATGTGTGCCAGATTCATGAATTGAAAATGCTATTCCTTTTTTGGGCTGTAATTATCCACAAAGGGAATATTACCAAGTTACAAAATAGAATAAGCTTCAATTAAGCAATGCATAATCCCCCAGAAGGCTAAACAAGCAAACAGTTCTTTAAAATGATGACTAAAATTTTGAATCCCAATTGACTTTATATGTCAAAATAATTATGTCACCCAAAGCCTTCTTGTACTAAAATATCACACAAGCAGCCAACAATAGCATATTCAAAATCTGAATAAGAAAAGAAAAGATAAGCTAAGCTGTAATCACTAAAATGGAAATGATTTGAAAATGTTTTTTTTTCATGGAAAGTGCTAAAAGAAAAACATCTAAAATGAAACTTTAGACAAATATAGTGTAGAGTAATTTGTCAAACCCTTATAATTGTCAAAAAGAGTACATTACAAAGGCAGAGAAGATTAGGAGAAAGAAGCCTGCTGCGGAACTCTGGCGCGGGTGTCCTCTGATCCCGACGGGGTGGGTTGTGAGCGGCATTCCGAGTAACCCTAATTCTTAATCTATTGAAGGGTCAGGGGCGTAGTAGAGAAAGCTGAGGGGAGTGACTCGGAGGCTAACTAACGAAAGGGTGCGAACGGTTTGTTCCAGAATGCAAACAGAAGAAACATGGTGCAATACTTTAATCACAGAGTATACCTTTTTATAGCTATGAAGTTACACCAACAAATTTTTAATACCTAAATTAATCTTACCCTTATTAACATTTATAATTTTGTAAAGATATCCAAACTTAGCTAAGCAATGCCAGAAAGGATTTACTACTATATTTGCCAAGCAATGGTCTCTCGTATACTCTTCTGATCATTGTCCAAAATAATAATTATAAGAATAATAATAAGTTCTCTGGTTTGGAACTACACGCAGGATAGAATCTGATATTCTTCCTGGGAGTTTTGCTTTACACATTCTGAGGCTAAAAAATTAGGTAATACTGTAGAACTTTACTACTCCTGGGCTTAAAAATTTTGAGCAGGGATGAAGCACGTTACTGCCCATTTTTACAATCTCCTCATTATCAAAGCAGAAATAGAAAATACTCCGTATACTAATAAACTAATACGGACTAAAATTTTACCAATCAATAAAGCCCTCTTAAAAGAAAAGAAATTTCACTACAATATTGTGAACTGATTGTGAAGGCTCAAGTGACTCCACTTCAGGTGCAGCAACAAACCCCCCAGCCTAAACGAATAACCTACTAACAGCCCTCCTAAATAAAACCATCTTTCTTTTAATGAGAACAAAAGCTGCTGTGATGAGTAGAAGAGTAGCTTAGAAACCGCAAGAGGCAAAAATCTGATTTGTAAGAGCACTATGTAAAATTGTTTATCTTTTAAATTAAGACCAGTGAATATTTGGTCTACCTATTGGAATTCCTCAAGGTTAAAATATAAACAACCACCTTGGGTTTAAAAAACAATAGCAACAAAGTTAGTTTTGTCTTTAATTCCAAATGCCAAAATTCCAAATCGGACAGAAAGTTTGAAGACTAAATCAATGTGCTCCTAGGACAATCACTTTTGTTTTTGTAAACGCACATGAAATCATTGAAACCAAAAACTTAATTGTAATGTTTAAATGTACTGTTAGTCTATTACAATGAAAACCATAGCAGCCAAATGTTAACACCTTAGCACAAATCTCTAGACAGAAGGCTACATTTAGCTCAAGAACATCTAGAATATAAGAAACTTCATTGTAGTACGGACACCAACTGAATTAAAATAGCGTAAAAAAGGCCTATATCAGCGTGTTGTGCAACCTATGTAAAAAAAGGGAAATCAAGAACAAACAAGGAAGAAGACGCACCTGGAGAAGTGTGAGGTTGCGGGAAAAATCGTCTGCTAACGGAACAACACGGATTTATACAGCCAGGGGAGAGGAGTGAAGATGAATGTGTCCATTGGATTTCCATAACTTCCTCTGGAGAGGAGAAGGATCGATGTGCTGAAATTAAACGGACTGAGGGATTTCCATAATGCCAGAGTTATGATCAAATGAGGGAAAAAAACTCACAGACAAAATGCCAAAGAAGAGAGGAAAGGACTGAGCGGGATGTGCAGACCAAGAGGGAGGCTGAGCGTGTGTCGGCGATGCGAAGATCCTGATTCGAACGCATGGGCCTATTGAGGCGGTTGGGCTAACAAACGGAGTGTTGGGAGACAAAGCCAATTGAAAATAAAAGTTTACAAGCATTTAAACACTATGTACATGTCAACTGAGCTTAGATTACCACCAACAATTTTTTTATACCCACAATACCCTAACCTTCATTCAAGCTTATTACATTGTAGAGATGTATAAATTTAGGGAGAATTTGAGTTTGCACCCCACTTTTTGGGTGATATTGGACTTTGCACCCCAATTTGAAAAAACTTTGATTTTGCACCCCAACACATAACACTTTGTGAAGAAAATTTTCTAAGTGGGGTGCAAAGTCAAAGGATTTTAAGTGGAATGGGGTGCAAAGTCAAAGTTTTTTCAAAATGGGGTGCAAAGTTCAATATCATCCCAAAAGTGGGGTGCAAAGTCAAATTCCCCCATAAATTTGTATATGTATATATACACACAATAAAAAATAAAATGACTTATCCATCCAATGTCATATTAAATCGAATCATCACTATGTAGTGGTTTGAATTAGAGGTCATAACCGAAGAACATATTAATTATAAAAGTTAAAAAGTTAATAATTTCCTATTTTCCTTACACTCTGACCTCCTATTGCGTATGCCTTTCAGTGCCTTATTGCATACACCTCACTGCAATATTCGTATAGCGCATGCCATCAGGTGCTATTGCATTGCACAATTATAAACAATGAAAAGAACCTGCATCGACCCTCTCCCCCAAAGGAGTCTCATTTAAAAAAAGAAGCAGATTGCATTAAAACTTACTACCTCCTCATTTTATGTGTCCTATTTTGGTTTGACACAATTATTAATAAAGATGTTGAAAAAGTAAAAGTTGTGGTTCAAATTTGAGTATAATATAATGAAATGCTGTAGACCACAATTTCTTTCTAGAAAAGGAAATATGACACTTATTTTGGGACAACTCAAAAAGGAGAGTAAGATAAGTAAAATGGGACAGAGGGAGATTTAATTTTTTTATGTGTCAAAGAGACATATATGTACAACAACAATAATTCCAAAAGAGTTTGGGTCAGCTAACATGAATCGACATATGATTTCGGGATTAAAAAAATAGTAATAATAATAATAATCGTTGATATATGACTATAATCGTTGATGTCTAGGAGTTATACCCAAGGATATAAAAATTGGCATGTATGAAACCATTGTTCTAAAAGGCGTTAGGCGCTAGTCGGGCGGCAACCCAGCGCCTAGCGTCTAGATTGGGATTAACTAGTCGGCGACACATAAATTATATTTTTATCTTTTTTTTTTTGCATAAATATGATAAGTAATACGTAGAAAAACTGTAGTATCATTTTTGTGTGTGTATGAAAAATATATCATTTTCATCATTTTCATTTACCCCAGTGCCGCAAAGGCTCCCACCTACGGTGGGGTAGGGGGGGGGTCGGATGTACGCAGTCTTACCCCTATACTAAAGCACAGAGAGACTGTTTCCGGATGTGACCCATAGTGAAAATCGCGTCCAAAATTGCATGGACTGACTGCTGCTTCATAACAAAAAAGCGCAGACAGTTTAGTGAGCCATTTTGCTTTATTCTATCATATTCTCAAGCCAAAAAATAATGAATCTTTGGCTCCATTACAAATGATGGAAAAAGTATGAAAAATATATACACACATAAATACATGCATGAATGATAGAATTGTCACATGCAATAATATATGATAACTATTCAATTAATTGCATCATGTTATGAACATTAAATAATTATAAAATTTAAGTATATATACAAACATATATGGTTTTTATCTTAATTTACAAGTACCTTTCTTCATATTCGTGATTAAAGTTAAAAGTACATATATCTCTAACAAAAAGAAAATTAAAAATCAAAAGTTGTTTGACGAATTTCAACGCCCGGCCTAGGCGGCGATGAGGCGCTCTGGGCGGGCAACTAGCCGTCCTAGACGGCCGGCTAATTCACCTAGGCGCCAAACCAATTAGTCGGGGCGCTTTGACAAAAATTGAGGCTCCCTGCCACCGCCTAGTGCTTAGGCGGGTTCTAGTCAGGTGCCTAGAGCAATTTTTAGAACAGTGTATGAAACTATTGGGATTCTTTTGCGATTAAGGCTTGGATGTTGTTGTTGTATGAAACTATTGGGAATAATGCTTGGATGTTGTTGTTGTATGAAACTATTGGTACTCTGAATTTATGGAGAAACATCATCATCATCACCCTAGTGCCACAAAGGGGGGTCGGATGTACGCAGCCTTACCCCTGTACTAAAGCACAAAGAGGCTGTTTCTGGATGTGATAGACACGAGGAGAAGCAGCCCAATAAATACTTTAAAAATGTATATCAAAGGAGGAAGAATAAAACAGTTAGTTAGTTAGACTTGCTGTTAGCTTTATCCAGCTTTGTCCCTGCGTGGACTTTGAATATAAATAGAAGGGAATAGCCAGAGGGAGGTAGGCTGTTTTGTTAGTTGGGTCTGGACTGGGAGATTAGGCATCTCGAATTGTCTATTGCTTGTACTCATATTCTGGCTTTGTTCTTGTTCAATAACTGATTCTGTGACTTGTTCTTGAATAAGATTTTGTTGAATTCTCTTTGTTCTGATTCGTTCGTACCAGTGTTCTATCAGGATGACCCATGGTGAAAACTACGTTGATTGTTGCATAGACTGACTGTTACTTCATAACAAAGAAGTGCAGACAGTTTGGTGAACCACTTTGCTTTATTCCATCATATTCCCAAGCCAAAAAATAGTGAATCTTTGGATCCTTTGCAAATGATGGAAAGAATTTATGGAGAAACCAATGGATTTTTTTATATGCATCTGGAAATTTATGAAAAAAAAACTTTACATTTTGTTAGTCTTTTTGTGAAAAGATAATGACATATACCAATAGTTCAAAAGTATTATATATTTCTGAATATCTCGAGATGTTTAGATGCTTTACGATATGTCATTACATTTTCTAATTTTGAGATTCTAGAGAAATTGTGTACCTCCTTGTGAATATCAAAGACCTCAAATCTGGAAATTTCAAAAGGAAGATTATGATATTTTCACCATTGGTTTTAGTGTTGTACGGTTGTACATTACTAAAATTAAAGAGATGTACCTAGGTGAAACAAGACTTTTGTTGGGACGGGGACTTAGAGAGTATATTTGATTATCATTTTGCTGTGATTGAAAGTGTATTAGTGCACTTCTGGTTTCACAACAAAAATAATGTTGAATGATTTGGCCTATCAAAAGTGAAAGTAATAAAGGATGAAAACTCTCGCAACTTTGGAAGTGAGATATTGGGAGTTTAGATGGTTTTATAGTTTCTTCGTGTTTCAATCCTCCCAACCAAACATGCACCACTCTTTTACTATCCTACTCTTCCCTCCAAAATCTTCCAACCAAGCTAACAAGGTCTAAGAGATGATCTTATTTATACTACTATACAATTAAGTAAGTTCAATAAAATATCAATTAGTGGTCATGTAATTGAGGCAATTCCATCTTGATTTATTCCCTCATCCTGGGTTGCTGTCTTTGCATTCCTTCTTTGGTCGTGTGTGTCTCAGGTAATGTTTTTTATCTGCGTGGGAAGGGGGGCTCCTGTCTCTGTTTTCTGAAATTATAACATGTAAGCCGCTGTTTGTTTGGAGGGCTTTGAAGGGGATGAGATTAAAGTTGAGGCCTGTTGTGTGCTTGCCTCCTTGGTTGGGGGAGCTAAGGGGGTACATGAGGATAGTGGAGGAGCTAGATACTCCTACAGATTCCATTTATCTCACTCTCCTAATGTGGTGTATCTCGTAGGAGTTATATATTTTCCCAGTGATGTCAATAGCGGGCTATAGCGGCGCAATAGTGGAGCGGAGCGGGGGCTAGCCGCTTTGAGACTGCCTATAGAGGAGCGATTGGCAATAGTGGTTGTAGCGGGCGCTATAGTGGGATGAATAGCGGGTGTAGCAGGCACTATAGCGGCACTATAATTTACCAGGCTACTTCAGTGCTAGTTTTGAGGGAATTTGGGAGTACTTTTTAGTTTTTACATTTAGATGTTTCTGGAGTAAAAAATAACCAAAATACACCCTCCAAAACACATGGGTGCCAAAATAACCCTACTAAAATCTACTAAAATAACTCAAAACAGAAACCATGATCAAACATAACCTATAGTCCTATACCATTTATCTCCACGTTAAGGTAGTTCAAGGCATCCCAACAACCATGATTTTCCTATAATAGTATAATGAGATATAAATGATGCAAATTTATCAAGAATTATCTGGAACTTAATTTTTAATGTTTAAAGGTAAGGCTTGAATTATTTGTTTCTTTTGTGCAAGACTTAAGTGCTTCTTTATTGGTAATTGAGTAATTATAAATTTCATGACATTTGAGTAATATATTTGCGATTTATCATTTCTTGGAAGTGACATGTAAATTCTATGCATACATATAATACATATTTTTCATATATATTGTGTAAATAGCGGTCCTCCCGCTATCCGCTATACCTCTAAAGCGTTTTCGGGGTTGGCCACTACGCTCCGCTATTCGGGATTGACAACACTGATTTTCCTAATTTATTTGTCACCTTTCTAAATCAGAATTGTTATACAATTTTAGTGTTATACATATTGATTACTGTTTTATAATTACAGCAAAAAAATGTCAAATATAAAAATTTCCTTCCTTGCCATCCCTCTTTAGAACCATTCATGCTTAGAGTAAAGTAGGAATTAAGCTATAGGGTTTGATGCCAAATGTGCAATAACATGATAGCGTTTATACATTGTTTCACAATTTTGTGTGATTTATGTATGAGCGCACAGTTGTTAACCTTGTGTGTTTGTAGGTGGGGCTATGACAAATTTCCAAAAGAGGCCCCTCTTGCATTTTACAAGGCAGGTCAGCCCATACATCCTCCCTTGGAATTGTTTGATGGGTTTAAGGTTGTTCTAGAGAACATGGTTGCTTATATAGAACAACATTTCCCAAAGCAACTTAAGTTTTGGCGTTTGCAATCTCCAAGGCATTTCCATGGAGGCGATTGGAATCAAAACGGCAGTTGTATGTTCAGTGAGCCACTTGACCAATCTCAGGTATGCATATGTAATAGACTAATATCTCATCTACGCATTTTCCCCTCACTTGTGATTTAGTTCATTTAGTTGGTGCCAAAAGGAATCTTATGTTCTTTAGGGAATAGGGAGTTTAGGTTATGTTTGGTCTGGGGGTTTGAAGGGGGAGTGTGGGGGATATGTTATTTTTTATTTTTAAATCAAGTGAATTTTCTATTTGGTTTATAGTATTAAAGGAAGAGTTAATATCTGATTTAGTCCTTTGATTATACACTTACTCGATTGGGTCGTCGACTTTTTTTGGGGTTGAATTTGGTCCTCCGCTAATAGTCCCCATTCATATTTCGTTTTAACTTTTAACAAAGAAGGGTATTTTTGTACACTGATGTCTAAATTTGGTCGAAATCTCATTGTTAAGGACCAAATTGAGTCTTAACCCTTAAACTTGGTCTAAATTTAGTAAACGGATAAAATGAGTCTTCATTAAGATTTCAGATTCAACTATGCATATGGAGTAAATTGGGTCGAAATTTTATAGTCCATTGCCAAATTGACTCCCAAAATTAACTTTAAACCATATATTGATTAATAGTGAAGAGCCATAGGGTTAAATCAGGTTATCTATCACTTCGTACTTCGTAGCTATTATTTTGAAAACCTGTCACTGTTTTCTTAAAATGAAAAATAAACCCTCCCCTTCTTTCCCCTTCAAAAGCCGCCTCCTCATGGAACGGAAATATTTAGAAATCTATAGATATGAGTCATTCCTCGCTGTTATCAATTAAAGCATCAACTTCCAGAAGTTCATTGGAAACTCTCACCCATTGTATTTGTTTTTAGGGGAAAGCAGCACTTTAAGTCCTTCAAGTGTTTGATATTATAATACTGAGGACCTGTCTTTCATTTTTTTCTTTCTAAATTTAGTCGATCAACTGTATCTTTAGCCACAATTAGTGCATCAGGTTAACATATGTTTACATTGTTGCCATTAACTATTAGGGGAATTGGGGGCAGACAAAATTCCTTTGCCAAGAGTGCACCACAGACCTTAAAGATACCAAATGGTGATTTTAACAGGAAAAGGCTATTGTATCTCAGTTACTAAGGTGAATGACTAAATTTTCAAAAACCGGAATACATTTTTGAGATTACATAATGTAAAAAGAAGTATGGTTTCCCCTTATTTGTATTTCGTGATAAATAAAAGCCAGTTTGATCTATTATCCCAGAGATAAAAAAAAAGAAAGATATAACTCGATGTGAAATACTGATACCTAAACAGCTGGACTTTTGGTTTGATCCCAGAAATGAGGGAGTGAACAAGGACGCCAGAGAGTTTAATGGTGTTATTAAGGAGGCAATAGAAAGAGGGTCAACAAGTATAAGAATACTTGATGTGACACCCTTGAGTGAGTTCCGGGCAGACGCACATCCCGCGATTTGGTTGGGAAAGAAGGACGCGGTGGCTGTTTGGGGTCAAGACTGTATGCACTGGTGCCTACCTGGTCTTCCTGACACGTGGGTTGATATATTGGCACATCAAATTCTTTCATCATTGAAGAGCATGGAGACTGGTTGATGATTGCCCAATCCAAACAAGGTTGCTGTTTCAAAGGTGGTAGAAGACTCGTTTGAAGAAACCTGTCATTTCTTCTACTATTTCAGTGTTTTTCTGTTATCACTTTGTGTGCGTTAGGAACCTAGATAATGCCAGTGGAAAGAAAACGAGGAGGAAGATGAAGAGGAAGTTTGGAACCACGAGGAAGTTGGGAAAAGATGAAACAATTGGTTTACATTTATTATAGTATACCACGAGTCTTGAAGTTAAGAACCAGGTAGGCAATTTTAATGTGACATTTCCGTCTTCCTTCAAGAGAACATTTGTCTTTGTGTAACTAATAACACGGTAGTCGGTAGAGTATTCTTTTCTTATCATTTTATATCTTTTAATTATATTTTTAGTATTACTAAAAATCTAAAATATACATGAAGGTTTATCGTACAACATGCTATGAAATGAGATTTGAGAACACGTTATTTGTTATGTAATGAATACAAACGTGCTAATATTCTTGTCACATGAATGTTTTGTTGTCATTATTGCAAAATAAAGTATTCTTATTACTTTATTTTTTACCTCTCTATCCCGTATTTGTGTTTTTATTTTTCATTTTGAGTTGTTTCATACTCCCTCCATTCTCCATGTCCGTATAGGCAGGGATGGACCCGGCCCGGGTCGGGCCCGGGCCGAGCCTAGGACCGGCCGGACCTCGGTTCAGGAAAGGGGAGGCCCGGAATAGGCCCGGGTAACCCCCGGGTCCGGTTCGGGCCGGGTCACCCGCCCGGGTCACGGGTCGGGCCACCTGCCGGGCCGGGCCTTTTTTGAATTATATATTATACAAATTCTTATTAAAAACAAAATTCAAGTGCATTTATTTGAAATAGGAAGTACATTTGAGAATTGAGAAAAAAACAACAATATGAAATACATTTTCTAATAAATATCAATTGGGATTTCCGCCACCGTTGGTTGTTGTTTTGCCTTTGTCACATGACTTCATGTTTTATTGGCATCCCGACTCCGTGTGATTCATGTGAACGTCTCAAGCAACACTCTTTCTTGCACCACTTTCAAGTTGCCCACCACAGTCCGGTCTTCGGGTCCTTCCACTCATCAAAATTGTTTTGCATAAGAGAAGAATTACTTTCCATTTTTAAAATGGTAGATGTATAAGTAGGAGTGTAGGATAATAAGAGAAGAGTTGGAGAAGAGGTGTAGAAAAATGGTAGAAAATAGATGTATTTAGAGAAATTACCCTAAATAGGACTAAAAGTACTTCTATATATTCCAAAAATAGGACTGTCATGTTTTTCCCCTCAAAATATGACTAATTACTGCCATGTTTTGGCAGTACCAGGCTTTAAAGATGACAGTATTTTCCAAACTTGACAGTAATTACTCCTATTTTGGGAATAAAAACATGACAGTCTTATTTTGGAATTTTCAAACTTATTTAGTCCTATTTCGGGAACTTTCCCATGTATTTATAGATTTTTTTGAACCCCACACCACCACCCCGGGACCCCCCTGCCCCCCACCCAAAGCCCCAACGGCTATATAGCCGTTTGGGAGCAATTTTGTATTTTAAAATGTTTTTAATTTTTTTTTGAAAAGTATACATATTGTAAAATAAGTTAATTAATTTAATGAATTAAGTAAAACTATTTTTACTTAGAAAAGTGGTTTGATTTATAATTTACAAATGTTACAAAATAGGTGTATAAGTATTTAAACAAATTACATATTGTAAATGTATTTTTAATTTAAAAACAACCTTTAGATTTTAGAAAAATAATTTTAAGTAGTAACTTGTAAGTTTGTAAACAATTAATTAATTTGAGAAGTGCTACATTTGAAAAAATGAACGCATATTTATTTGAAATATGAAGTACAAGTTTACAAATTAATTTTATTGAATTGTTTATTGAATAAATTTTTTTGTTGATTATTGAATTGATGTACACAATAATATAAAATAATTCAAGTATATTTATTTCAAATAAGAAGTACAATTGAGAATTAGGATGAATTTAATAAATGTAATACATTTTGTAATAAAAATCAATCGGAATCTCCGCCTTCGGTGGTTGTTTCCTCCATAAAGTGGCGGGTGGGAGCGATGGTCATTTCTTGAGTTCTTCGTTGGGCCTTCAACCAATCGTGGAAGCAAACTAGCGTCTCAAGAGAGCTCGGGCTCAACCTCGTTCTATAATCGGTTAGGACGTTGCCGGCCGCACTAAATTCTTGTTCCACGGCAACTGTTGGTATCGGCATTGCTAGCACTTGCTTAGCCATCTTTGATAAAATCGGGAACGTTTTTTCATTTTCCTTCCACCACTTAAGAACGTCAAAATCATCCCCAACTTCATAATCAACATTCAATGTTAGATACAAAGAAAACTCGTTAACTGAGCTTTGTTCAGTAGCAGGAGTTGCTCTACTTTTTTTCAAAAGAGAACTAAATGCAGATTTTAAAAGTGATTTTCCTTTAGATGAAGAAGATGTTCGCGGCATGAGAGGGGGTGCATTACCATATTGTGCATGAAATTCATTATACAATTGATGAAATAAATTACTAACCTCGTTGTATTCTTGTTTAGGGTCGATGAAATTATCATCGAACTCTTGAGTTGGAAAAAAGAAGCATCTTAGTAATATATACAAGTTCCCAAGTAAGCAAGTTTATAACGAGGATCAAGAACAAATGCAATACCATATATATGCGGAATATGTGAATAATATTTTAAAAACTTTTGTTTCATGAAATCACAAAAATAACTAACGTAAGCGGCATCGGAAAATTCACAAAAAGCGCCGGCGAGATTAACAACTTCAACAAAAAATTCATTTATAAATATGACTAAAAGTTTGAGTTGCGTTATTAAAATATACCAAAACATTAACAATTTTTTCACAAGTGTCGATGTCAGCCGGGTTTATAATATAGTTACAAGATTGTCTTAAAAAAGCAGGAAAATGATCTTTATATCTAATAAGTACTTGAATTAAGTTATAAGTACTATTCCAACGAATAGACAAATCTTTAGGAAAAACACAATAATTAACACGTCTATCCTTCAAATATTGCCGTCATTGCATTTTTAGTTGAGTGTTAGCCCAAATCAATTTAATCCCCCCTTCACTACCTCCAAAGCATCTCCTAATGCTGCTAACCCATCTTGTACACACAAATTTAGAATATGACATGCACAACGTTGATGAAAAAACCTACCCATCAATGTAGAAGCACCACACAATTCACGCAATCTAGGTATAACAGCAGTATTATTACTAGCATTATCAAAACCTACAACAAACACCTTATCAATCAAATTATACTCAATTAAAATGCGCTCAATGAGAATATAAATATTATCAGCAGTGTGACGATAATTGAATTCACGAAAAGCAAGAACACGTTTATGCATATTTCAATCATCATCAATATAATTTGCAGTAAGACTCAAATAATATAAATGATGATAAGTATCCTCCCATATATCGCTACAAATACTAACACGTCCATCAAAGTTTGCGAAAAATGTTTGTAATTTTTCCTTTTCCAAGTTATATTGCCTTATAACTTCTTTTTTAACCGTTTTGCGACTATAATTTCTAAATTGAGGATTTAAAGTACCTTGAGCATAATCTCTTAAAGCAATATTTTCAGAAAAAATATAGGGTAAATATTCTTCAACAATTAAATGAGACATACCAGTCAAATGTTTTTTATCATCATAGGAGAAATAACCAAATGGTTGAGAATTTGCAAACCTCGATATTTGTGTTTGCTTCCCATTGCCTTTGTCTATTTTCGCATACTCCACAAAGTGGGCAGACTTAAGATGCCTTGTCAGACTCCCGTATCCGTCAGAAGTTCCCAAGCTATACTCTTTGTTGCAATGATTGCAACTTGCGTACCATTTATCGGTATTTTTGTCTTTCATTTTTGTAAAATTGTTTTCAATAATAGGAGATTTAGATTTCTTACCAATTTGGGATAAACCGCCCTCGTACATCCTCCAACTCTTGCTCATCATCCGGGGTGCCGTGAGTCCCGTCGCCCCCCTCGTCCTCCTCCGCATCGTCATCCTCGAGCTCCTCTTCATCAATGGTTGTCGGGAATTGTTGTTCTTGTGCAACGCGTGGATCATTTTGGGACAATAGGTTTTGTAGTTGCTCGTCGGACATCGCCATATCATCTCTCCATTGGTAATCCGTTTCAAAATCATCTTGACTTTGAAAAGAAGACTCGGCCCGCGCTTTACCTTTGCCTTTGCGTGAAGTAGGACGAGTCGCCGCAATCTCCCTCTTGCGGTTGCGTTGGAGATTACTCATATCTACAGAATGTCTACCACGGTCCATCTTTAAAATTGAACAAATATTAAATGATATCAAATATTTTATATGAGTACAATAGTAATAATAAAATGTGACTAAGAAAACTATAGCAAATTCGAACTAAAATATGAGTATATCAAATGTAACAATTTGTTTTCCTTGAAAAAAAAAATCGAACTACATCTAATTAATACTTTAATGAGAAATGTAACAATTAACTAATATTAATATGAGAAAGGTAACAATTAACTAGTTTAACTAATATTAATATGACAAATGTAAAAATTAACTAGTTTTTTTACGCAGTGTAACAATTAACTAGTTTAACTAATATTAATATAACTAGTATAAACATTATATTATATATTACTTATAATACATTTACACATTATATAAACTATATAGATCGACTTATACACATTCATACATTTTATAAAAGTAGTTAATTGTTAGACTTCTCCATACTTAGAGTGTATATAAATATAATTTGTACTAGCAATAGTGTCCATAAGAGTAAATTAAAATTTGGGAATACAATTTGGATAACATTTTTCATTGGGTGATCTTGATAAGTCATAATTTCATTCGGAGCACAACCCATCCATACAATCAAGCCAAGATGTAAAAAGCTATACAAATGTTTGCGCATCTTCACTTGAGATTAATCCACTGTCTAGCAATTGTTTGTTTGTGGTGATTTACTCCACAAAGGAGCAAATGACACGTCATATCGATTTGTAAGACGAGTTATGTCAAATGTGATGATACCTCTAAAATCTTTATAAGCGTATCGACATCGATTGTCACCCCAAAAAAATATTTCGTAACCGTGACTCCTCATCTAAATCAAATCTAAATGAGAACTTGAGGAATGTACTGTGCTTGCATTCTAGAAAAAATACTTGACTTGTGATTGCGTCACCGCTTTCTTACCTAACTTCTCAAATATTATCTATATACTATCGTAGTTCTCAATTCTCAATAATTATTTTCAATTGATGGAAGGTGATCAAATTCACCGTCTTCAACGATGGCCGAGTTGAAACTTATATGAAGTGATATTCCCGTAATATCATTAATTTCGAGTTGTCTCTTGGCTTCATTTGTGGTGTAAACTTCGTATTACACTGAAACTAGATTTTCACCCGTGCGATGCACGGTACAAAAATCATACACTATAATTAGTTTTGGTTAATGATATTTGAGAGATGTGGAATGAAAACGTGTAAATGTATTTCAAAATGTAATGCAAAATTTTATAAGAAGTACGATTGATTGAATCATTTGGGAACACTAAAATTGATTAAATCGATTGATTCTGCTGAAATTTATGAACTTATGGTTGAAATGGCTGATTTACTTATTATGTTAATTTAAGAAAAACAAATTCGCCTATAAAATAGAGAAATAATTATATGAAAAATAACTAAAATGATTATAGAACCTCAGTCAATATAGTCAAAAAAGTAACTCTAACTTACTTTTTGTATTATTACACAATTCGCGCATGAAATCAAAAATTGCGTGTTTGGTGAAAATTGACAAATGATTTCTTAATTATTACAATGAGTGAAGCATATATTTATAACCATTTCCATATTGATTTAGGGAGGAGTATACTAATTAAGTTACAGGTTGTGAACTTGTGATCGAATATCTCAACACTTCAATAGTACTTCGTAATTAGTAAATACTTCAATAGTGCTTCAATAGTACTTCGTAAAGTGGAACTTCAATTTTTTATAAATTAAACCGTACCCAATTTCTCAATTTCCAACAAAACTTATTAGCAAATTTAGGTAAAGTGGAACTTTAATTTTTTATAAATATGATGTGTACTTTTCATCTTTCTGGAATGTTAAATTACTAAACTTTAAATCACAAACATTCTACAGTAATTTCTTTTTTATATTTAATTTTCACACAACCAATCCAAGTTAATTTTCGTACATTTGAAACAACTAATAATGCTACATAATTCTCCACAGAAATATATTTTTCGACATGTTACTTATAAACTTTACTTGCCGTAATTATTTACAATGTAAATACTCTAGTTTTTTCATAACATGCCATTTGAAATAATGAATTATGGTCTACTATTTTTTTACTCCCTAGTTCAAAATACTTTCCACTTTCCTTTTTGAGTCATTTCTAAAAATACTTCTGACTTTCCCCTTTTAAACAATTTGTGTCACTCACATTCATTTGACTTTTTTTCTTATACAACTACAACCATACATTTCCACTTTATTCCACTTTCTTAATAATAAGTGTGCTGATTCATATTGTTGCCATCTTTGATCAAATATTTGTCGAGAGATCAGTTAAACTTTCATTTCACATTTAAAGCCTTACAGGATGGAGTAAAATAGCAAAACCGACTAAACATAACATATCACAAACACTAACCTGTAATGATCAAAGTGAAATAAAATGGAGTAATGGTATTCAATTGAGCACTAAATTTTACAATTTTCAAAATCAAACTACCAGAACTTTAAGTAGGGTAACAAAAATGGAAAATTTGAACATTGGTATGTCAAAAGTGACAATAAAATAATCCCTAAAATAGAGAGTAATTCAAATGGCTATGTATTCCATCAAGTATCTTCAAGATCTTTCAATATACAAACTCCCAGCTTAGGTTCTTCAGTCTTGAATAAGTCCTGCTATTCAATAGGGTGAATTAGCTTCACACGGGAAGAAAGAACATACTCTTATTTATACTCCCTCCATCCCGAAAACAACCTCCCGGTTTGACTTTCACACACTTTTTGAAAATAAATTTGACTTTACTGTAGAGTGCACTGTTTTGCACTGTTTAAACACTGTTTGGCACTGTTTAAACACTGTTTGAACACTGTTTGGCACTGTTTATCACTTTTTTGATGTAGATAATTTGCAAAATAAGGAAAGTATTGAGGTGTGAAGTTAATTTTGGGACATCCATTTAAGGAAAGTGGAAAGTTGTTTTTGGGACGAAGAAGTATTATAATCAAGTCTTGACTTTCAACATTGTATTTTCTCCTGCGATAAGCACACAAATTCATTTTATACAATAAAACATACTTCTGTCCTATTCACATGAAGAAAGAAGCATAGCAGTAGTTCACATGAGGAAAAATAAAAAACATTAGCATTCCCAGAAGTATTTACAACACATTATTCCTACCCTAAATTACCTTCTAAAGATCAAACACATAACATGCACTATTCAATGTTTCGTATCAGATTTGTGAATAATGTTAATGGAAGAATGAGCAAGTTCAAACCTGTCAGGATGAGCAATAGATCTTGTTGAAAGCTCCAGCCAACAGTAGCTACCGCCGGCCGCCGCCTCCTCCTCCTCGGAACTGCCACCATGCCTTTGATTTTGTTGGTTTTCCCTCCGCCCCATTGATATGCTGGCCACCCGCCTCAGTCGCTCCAAAGTCTGTTGTCGCCGTCTCCAAAATCGGGAAAAATTGTTGTTGAGACACCTTGTCGAAGCCGTCTTGCTGGGTCAAAGGTCGGTAGGGGTTTATGTCCTTTTATACGCCATACAGCCCATACTGTTCGCCGTCGATTCGCTCGATGCTCTGCTTCTCCGGCCAAATCGCTACCTGTGATGTCCTGGGGTGCCCTGCGGTGCTAGCTTCATGAAATGAAATGGGCAATCCTCTTGAGTTTCCAACACACACACACACACAATGAGAAGATAGATATCTATGCATAACACTGCGCAAGAAGCATATAATAAAGATATATGGACTGCTTTATTTCAAGAGTAATTAACACGCAACCATCGTCTTCCATCCTAGAGGGTTCAAATGACAACCGTGTATGACAGCCTTAGAATGCAATTTGGATAAGTACCAGCATGCATTGATGGGACAAATCATTATGGTGACCTTTACATGAATAGTCAACATCAATGTTAGATGGGACACAAGTGTGAATGCTAAAATGATTGATGCAATGCGAAAGGAAAACTGTCCATATTCCACATTAGCCATCAAAATAGCAATTAATATTAGCCATAAAAAAAATTAACCCGAGGGCATTGCTAACCTCCGGCCCATTTCACCTATTTGATCTGGCCCAACGTTAATCCATGAAAGTGACAGTTTTGAGCGGAAAATTCATCCAAAATTCCACCTCTTTTTATATAGAGATAGATATTCCCGCCATGCAAACAATAGTATGTACTCCCTCCGTCCCAAATTGTTTTGCAAAATCAACATTTTTTGGTCAACCAATAATAAAAGTCAATGCTCGTTATCCATAATTAATTCAATTTTTAACAATTAAAATTTATATATTCAGAAAGTTCATTAAAATCTCTTCAAAGTTGTAAACTCCAAATTAGAATATAATTAAAAATTGACATCCTAATTAAGTGTATAAAATGAAACTGTTTGACCAAGAAAAGTCAATTTTGCAAATCAATTTGGGACGGAGGTAGTATATCTTAAGTACTTGTCCATGTTGTATGTAAATGAACAAATAACACCGTATATATACATCCACTTTTATCACAACAACATAAACCGCTACCCAACTTTTTCTATTTATAGTTTAATTTTTATAAAAAAGTATATCAGATTTAGTAAACTTTTATGATGTTTTCACTGGTATCAATATATAATAAAAACTTAAAAAAAAATCTATTTTTTAGCAATTTTTTTTTAAATTCTACATATGCAATATTAGTATGATATGAAAGATCATAAAAACAATTGGTATATTTTTTAAAAATTGGATAAAAATGAAAAAATAAAACAATTATCAACGTCCTCGTTGCGCCATAAGTCAATTCAATCTCAATCATATCCCAGAATCTTCTCCTGTTAAGTGTCTGTCCTATATCCAACAAATCATGAGAAACTTCTCGGGGGGGGGGGGGGGGGGGTCACCTATCTCAAGACTACTCCCGTGCAAACACGCTTAACTTGGAGTTCTTGACTAATGAGCTCCCTTAAAAGAAGATGCACCTTATTGATATGAGTAGTACCGTTAATCCATTTAAATTAATCTCACGTATTGTTACAGTTGTGGATAATAGACACAAGTGATGTGAAATAGATTTCCAATATCCAAAAATATAATTTTAAACATTGAAATTTTGTCCCATTATTACTCGTAACAATTTTCACCCTTTTATCAAATTGGAGTCCTACCATCAAAATCAATTGTTTAAGAATATTTGAAACTTCACTCTTCTCCCGCATTAAATAAGCCCAGACAGCCCGTGAAAAGTCATCATCAACAGTAAAAAAATATCTTGCACCATATGACACTGAAAAATGATAAGGACCCCACACATCACAGTGAATCATTTCAAATATTTCAAATGCTCTGGAATTACTAATGTGAAAAATGTCACGAGTCTTTTTACCACGCAGACAAGTGTCACAACTTTTATTCAAATCAACTGGCAACAAGGATTTATTGAAAGTAAAAGCAGAACGAAAAACTTTCTCTGATGAGTGTCCTAATCGAGAATGCCATAAACTGCTTGTGTTCTTCCCTTTTATTGAACAAACACAAACTGGATCTGGGCTATGAAAATAGTAAACTCCACCACGTTTCTCACTCCTCCGATCGGCGTCCTCAGAAGTAAGTCATGTATCACACAAACATCATTAGTAAATATTATGCCGCATTTTCGCTCATCAATCAATTGTCCTACCGATATTAAATTACACGACAAACCATGTACCAACAACACATTATTAAGTTTAATTAATTCCATGGCTTAGCTGCACCTTGCCCTTGCTTCGGGCGAAAGTAACATCACAGTTTTAAAATAACACAAATGAGCTAAGTGTTGTTGTTTCATCAACAAGTGTTCATTTTCGGTAATGTGAACGGATGCTCCGGAATCTAAAATCCATGTTATTTCAGCATTCTTATCTTAAACCTTTTCATGTGGAGATGTCTTACACTGTTCCATGAGGTCTAGGATTTTTTTCATTGGTCAGTGGAAAACGTATGAGCTCGAGCTTTAGCATCTGTTCTCGTCACCACATTAGCAACAGCTCGGCCACGTCCTCTCCCGACTTCACCACGGCTGCGAGTTCCTCATCCTCTTCCCGCGTTGTCGTACCACCAGTCCGGATATTGTTCGGTCCTTTTAAAGTAGTTGTCTGCTCTGAGCCCTTGCTTTTTGCAGTACATGCAAATGACTTTATCCTCTCGTCCAATTGGTGGGGCAGCAATCTGAGTTGCAAACCCAACCACATCAACCTTCTCATCGCCATCCCGGCGGGACAAATGATGACCCCATCCTTTAATTAAATGAATATTAGTCACACAAAACTCTTCAAAAAAGATAAATGAAAAGGATTTTTGAAATATCCCAAAAGATGGAAATAATTATATCGAAGGAGAGTTGACATATTTAGGGTGAACTCTGAGGGATTGACAAAATTAAGTTAGTGGTGTGCCAAGGTATTTTTCTACTCATGTTTTTACTTTTTATAGGCAAAAAAGTCTACAGTTGACTTTATTTCTTTCAATAATACTGTAGTGAATACACAAAGTCTCAGACAGTTGAAAATGTTTCCAATGCAGTAAAATCTAGGAAGCTAATCACCGGTGTTTTTTTTTTTACTTGTTTTTCTACCCTTCCCCTGAGAGTCAACAATCGCCTGGTTTTCCGATGCATCGGAGACTCAGACTCTAAGCTGATTGCAGTTAATAATAAGTCAACAAAACTCCAAGCGAAGGCGTTACTATATTTACAAGCTGAAGAAATGGCTTCTGAAATCGAATTCGTGCCGGACGCCAAAGATCAGAAGAGCTCTACTGGTCAACAAAACCCTAACCAAGTAGTCGTGGTCGATGTACACACTGCTTCTGCTTATGGAGACTTCCAGAAGCTCCGCAAGTTCGTTGAGAACGACGGCGTTTCTCTAGCTCATCCGGATGAAAATGGCTACTATCCCCTTCAGTGGGCTGCGCTTAACAACTTCGCCGATATTGTGCAGTACATCATTGAGGTATCCTTATTCTTTATAAGACGTTAGCTGCAGGTTGAACGAAGTGAAACCCTTAGTTTTTATGCTTTAATAGCTCAAACTTCCTGTGTTTTGTTATAGCATGGAGGAAATGTGCATGCTAATGATAATACAGGGGAGACGGCATTGCATTGGTCTGCTGTGCGTGGTTCGATTGCGGCTGCAGATGTATTGTTGCAGAATGGGGCACAGGTCGAGGTGGCTGATTCTAATGGCTACCGGGTAAGTTAGTAAGTTTCTCTTGATCATATTTCAGATGTTACTGCTTTGAGTGATGATTTGGATTTCAAACCATCGTGTTTTTTTACTGCTCTGTGCAAACTACAGGCAGTTCACATAGCTGCACAGTGTGGACAAACAGCTTTTATTTATCACATAGTTACAAAGTATCAAGCAGACTTTGATGTACCGGATAATGATGGAAGAAGCCCTCTTCACTGGTACCTTTATTTCCCCTTATGTCATATATTGAGCATGCTTTGTTTACATTATTGTTTGCAAAATTTAGAATATTTTAATTTTTCATGTTATTAAAAATATTTAAAACTAAAAAAGAATCCAAAATCTTGATTTTTAAAGTCTTCGAGGGAAAGTTGCAATCGCTCATTTCCTCGGTTATAGTTTTGATCTTTCAATCTTGAATTGATAGAAATAACCCCGTCATTGAATTGATATTCTTGCATGATGAAAATCCTTAATTGATACCTATCTCTCTGGTCCTGAACTGATTAAGCTCCTTGATCAAATACGTCCTTATACCCTTCATTTTCAAATTCTGACCAGGGCTGCATATAAGGGATTTACTGATACCATTCAGTTACTGCTGTTTAGGGATGCCTACCAAGGTAGACAAGATAAAGATGGTATGCTAGCTCTTTATTTTTCTGTTTAGATATTCTAGTGGTCAGTTTCAAGTCTTGCGTATCCCTAAAATGGTGTTAAAATTTGCTGGAAGTAGTAGGTTACTAACAAGAGGAAGCTTCCACAATTTATTCTAGTGTTTAATTATTCCTGCTGACTTGCAAATTATAATACATTTTCCCAACTTTGATGTTTTCATAGAATAGTACACTTTAGAGGTGCTCCATTTAACTTCGGTTTATAGTAAACCACAATAGTTGCATACAGATTATGAAAGACTATCTGATGACCCACGACATTGTGAAACATTTATTATTAGTATTAATTACTATTATCATTAGGTTTTTAATAACTAGTACTGTAGTCGGAAGTAATTATTAGAATTATTGCTGTTGTTGTGATTGTTATTTTTATTTCATTGTTCTTCTTGTTGTTGTTGGTTGGTTATTAGATGTAGTGGATTTGGTTAATGGCTTGTTTATAGGTAGTGGGCTAGTCAATATGTTAGATTTAATATGGGTGTGTGTGTTATCAAAGGATTATAAATAGAAAGCTTCTCCCCTGTGCCATTCTTCTTCTCCCTATACATCTTTCTTGAGAAATTCTGCATTTCACTCTTATTAAGTTCTTCACGAATTTTGTTCTTACTTTTTAGCGTACACATTCGTTGTAGCTCCATGAATATTGTTGTTCGTTGCATAGGTTTTTAATTGAGCAATTTTGGTATACCACATAGTTTAGTACTCTCTATTCCATAAGTTGTTCAACTTGTTAATGGATCAAATCATACAACCAGATCTTCATGAACTTTGTTTTTACTTTTAGTTCACACATCTGCTATAGCTCCATGAATACTCTTGTTACATTTTTTTTAAATAAGCATGTTTGTAACTCACATAATTTAGTACTCCATAACTTGTTAATGGATCAAATCATAGAACCAATCTTCAAAAGAGAATGTTTAAGATTTTTTTTTAAAACTGTTGTAGGATGCACTCCTTTGCATTGGGCTGTATTAAGAGGAAATTTAGAGGCATGCAATTTGCTGTTACATGCTGGCACGAAGCAAGAATTGACAGTAAAAGATAGGGAAGGCTACACACCTGCAAAACTTGCAACCGACAAAGGGTATCAGCAAATTGCCCTTTTGCTTGTAAGTCAATTATGTATTTGCAATTGTCTACAAATATGTTTGTTCATATTATTGTCTTTAAACTTGAGGCGTTGGTGTTCCACCGGTATGTTATTGTGCCAGAGAAGCCAAAGTTATTGGCCTTAGCGGTTTTACTGATTTTTTATCTGTTAATTCATGGATTTAGTTAGTCAAGCCTAGTTTTAGGATGCAACGTAAAACATGTGTAGAAAATGTTACCGGTAGAGCTTCTTGCAACACAGAGTATCTAATGGTTGCTTGATGAACATTCTATTCTCAAATAGCACGCACGCACACATAGATATGCGTGTATATATAAAAAAGTTCTCCTCTGGACTTCCTGACCGGAAGCGCCATCTGACCGCCGCCATTTGAGGTGGTTCCCAGTGGAGTTTTTTTATGAAAATTTGTGAGAATGATCTTCGTGAAGTGTAGATTATGTCCACAAAATTTCAGCTCAAAATTCAAACGGGAAGTCAATTAAATAAATTATTGAAAAACACTGTGTTATATATATATTGGCGTAGTGCTTTTCATTAATTTATTAAACTGACTTCCCGGTCGAATTTAAGCTGAAATTTTATTGACATAATCTACACTTCATGAAGAACATGCTCACATAATTTCATAAAAAAACTCCTCCGAAAAGTCGTGAACCACCTCAAATGGCGGCGTCCAGACAGCGGTTCTGGTCTGGAAGATTACTCATATATATATATATATATATATAGTCGTGATCTCATCCGGTAGTTCGGATAGCATTTCGTCCGGCCTTTTTCAAAAGCAATCGGTGGGGGCTACATTAAAGTCTCTAACAAATGCAAAAGCATGCATTATTTCCGTATTCCACTATTGTACGTGTAGTAATATAAATGGCCCAACTCTACTTTAGATGTTAGTAATGTTACATACTCGGTATTTTAAATTGTAAATGTTAGTGCAGTTTCGTAGAATTTTAAACATTGTGTCTTAATAAGAATAATACTACGTAGTTCAATAAAATTAGACCTTGAAATTTTAAACCATATCTTATATAGGTATTACTAGAAAATTAATAATAAATGAATACTCGTTCAATCCTTTAAAATGATGTAAATTTCTTTTTGGTTGTCCCGCTAACTTTACTCATTTCTCTTTTTAGTAAAAAATTTATGATTCCAGATAACTGTCTGTCTGTCCTATGCACACACATTGACCACGCATTTTAACTTTATTCACGGTCAAATTGTCAAAATTTTAAGGGATTGAGGTTGTATGTTAAAAGAGATTGTACATATACTTAATAAATTAAACCTTCGAATAATATCATATATTCAAATTAGGGCGTTGCACAGGTCCAAAATTGTACCTGACTGAATCAGAATTGGTTTTGCAATAAAGAACTCGGAAACCGGGTCTGATGTATCGCGGTTTATAACCAAAACCAAACCGATTTAGCCACTTCAAAACCGAAACCGGACCGGAAAAATCCGTTTCTAAATTATTAACTTTTCTTAAAAATACAACTAATATAATGGTAAAGATGAAGTATTTAATATTTATTAAGTAATTTGAGTGTAGAATATTAAATTGAAATAATCCGATTTTTATTAGCTTGTATGCTCTCTCGATATTATAATAAAAGTCGCTCTTTTATATTAAAAAATTAATAATATATCAGACACCTTTTTTATCAATTACAGAATTTTTTATTTTGCTCATTCAATTTTGTAATATTTGAAACAGGTAAAGTTGCATTTAGAGCCCATTTGTGGCGGAATTTTACTCCTCTCCAGTTACTGGACTTCTCCAGTAGGAGAGATACAGAGACAGATGGGGAAATGGTGGGGTAGGGAAGAATAAAAGATGAGAATTAATTATTATTTTTAAGGAGAGAGATAGAGTGAAAAAAGAAATGGAGAGAGTAAATGGAGAGAAAGAAATGGAGAGGAGTATGACCCCATTTGGCGACCCCTACTTTTTGCTTATCAACCTTATCAGTCAACATATTCATCAAATACATAATTTTTTATTTCGCACTCTAATTTATATATATAATAATAAAAATAAATAAAGTTATAATTACTTTTCAGATGGAATTGGCTAAATTTACTGTAGAAGGCGATTTTAGTTATTTTCATATTTTTTTCCCCTTGATGAATCAATTTCATCAGATTCAGTCAATTCAGTCAATTTCGGTATTACCAAATAGACTCCTAACTTTTTCATAATTCAACAAATTCAATCCATTTAATCATTTCAAGTTAGACTTTGATCAATTTGAACAGATTCAACCATAAATATGTAGTGCTAAACTAATACTCCCTCCGTCCCGAAGTGTAAGACATTTTACGGTTTATGATGTTTGACTGACGATAAAGCAAACGGATCACTGTCTGCACTCAAATTATTTTTAGAAAAAAAGAATTACATGTTCAAAAACTACATTAAAAGCTTTACAAAGTTGCAAAAACCAGAATCAAATTTGATAAAAAGAATTGATATATAAAGTAAGAGATTAAGAGTGATTTGTGTTGACCAAGTGAATATGAAAAATATCTTACAAAATGGGACTGAGGGAGTATCAAATATGATGCCTGAAATCAACTACTATCACAAAAGAATATTTAGTAGCAACAATTAGAAACTATATTAAATAAAATAAAGTGATAATTGCATAGGCCCGAAAAATAATAAACCTATTTAAACTTTTTAATCTTTCAACGTCCTGAAGTGTTTTAGTGAAACAGTGAAACAAATTCATTTTTACTACGTATTTTTTAGTGTTCAGGAGTAGGATGATAACAAGTCACTTTACATTTTATTTTATTTGTGCACTAAACTGAAATGAAAATAAGGTATGTTCATGCTTTTGTCAGATAAATTAATTTGCCAGGCCCACACAAATTAATTTGCCATGCCCACACACTGATGCACACTATACATTTTAAGAGGTTCGGACGACATTTGCCTCCAGTAGTTCAGAGGAGAGCATCTCCGTGTGTGTGTATATATATATATATATATATACACAAATGTTCATGTCCGGAATTCCGGACAGGAACCGCCGTCCGGACGGCGGCGTTTGGCCGCCTTCCCGGTGGCTTTTTTTGATGAAATTTTTATGGCATGTTCTCTATCAAGTCTAGTTTATCCACAAAAAAATTAAGCCAAAAACTCAATCGGGAAGGTCGTCAAATAATTTTTGCAAGTTAACTGGTCCGGAATATGTATGGATAAACTAGACTTGATGGAGAACATGTCATAAAAATTTCATCGAAAAATTCCACCCGGAAGGCGGCCAAACGCCGCTATCCGGACGGCGGTTCCGGTCAGGAATTCCTGACGGCTGACCGGAAGAGTACTTTATATATATATATATATATATATATATATAGAGTGCTCTTCTCATCAGGCCGACCTGACGGGCTGCTCCGTCCGGCCGAGCCCGTTTGGGCACCTTCCCGGTGGAATTTTTTGATGAAATTTTTTGAGCATGGTCCTCATCATGTCTAGTTTGTCCATACCAAATTTCAGCTCAAAATTCGATCGGGAAGGCATTCAAATCATTTTTTGAAGTTGACTGCGTCAAAATATACATATAAAACTGCAGTCAACTTCAAAAAATGATTTGAATGCCTTCTCGATCGAAGTTTGAGCTGAAATTTGGTATGGACAAACTAGACTTGATGAGGAACATGCTCAAAAAATTTCATCAAAAAATTCCACCGGGAAGGTTCCCAAACGGGCTCGGCCGGACGGAGCAGCCCGTCAGGCCGGCCTAACATGAAGTTTCCTCTCTCTCTCTCTCTCTCTATATATATATATATATATATATATATATAGACTTAGGATCATATACAAACTCATCCTAATTTACAAAGTGCAAATCAATCATGGCCATCCATATTAATGAGGTTACGGTGGATTTGAGAGAAAGATGGAAAACTTATCCACTGAGCACATGAGTTACGGATGATTTGAGATAAAGTAGGAAAACTCCCACCAACAGTGGAGTATTTAGTGGGTCAAACAATTTCTACCCTTGATTTTGTAATTTTGAACGGATGAGATGAATTTGCATTTTGTACCGCAAGCACACTTTGTATCCGATCTTCACCCTATATATATAGGGTGAGGTTCAAGTGAGAAGAAGCTTTTAGGTGAGAAATGAGAACGAATCTCAGCCGTTGGATTCGGCTATTTTGCAGTAAAAACACTTTATATTGCACTGAAATATGCAACATAGTTTGGTGGCATTTTCTGAAAAATCCGTATTACAGCCATCTAGTGCAACATGAAGCTGTTTTGGTGCAACGTCGTCAAATATTAGTGCAATATGAAACAATTTTAGTGCAACACTGCAAAAATTTAAGTCTTACTGCAACATCAAGCTATTTTCAGTGCAAAAGGTTTATTCTCTTTTCTCACATTAGATGCATTTCTCACTTGAACCAAAATCTATATATATATATATATATATATATATATATATATATATATATATATATATATATATTATGTATATACAGAAAAGATCAGGTCCCTCCGGAGGGACGGGAGGGACCGTCCGAACTTTACTGTTTGGGGCGGTTCCCGGTGGAATTTTTTGATGAAATTTTTTGAGCATGTTCCTCATCAAGTCTAGTTTGTCCATACCAAATTTCAGCTCAAAATTCGACCGGGAAGGCAGTCAAATAAATTCTTGAAGCTTACTGCACATTCTGCGCATATATAAAGTGCAGTAAGTTTCAAGAATTTATTTGACTGCCTTCCCGGTCGAATTTTGAGCTGAAATTTGGTATGGACAAACTAGACTTGATGAGGAACATGCTCAAAAATTTTCATCAAAAAATTCCACCAAGAACCTCCCCAAACAGTAAAGTTGGGACGGTCCCTCCCGTCCCTCCGGAGGGACCTGAGCAGTCCTCTATGTATATATACAATATACATAATATATATATATATTGTTTTAGTGTAAATTCTAGTCTTGTTAGTAACCCAAATGTTCATAATGGATGGAAGATGTGATGGATTGCACGTGCCAAAAAATTGAGGGCAAACTAGGCATTTCCATTACATCAGTTTCTCTCTTCAACCAAAGTAAAACAAACAAACAAGGGGAAACTGTCGAGTCTTGTTGCCAGATCGAGATCCTATTTCCATAGTTTATTCCCCTGGCCACGGTCCATGGGTTGATCATGTGGAGTAATTCAATTACAAAAGTGTACTGTTTCCTCAAACTTTTGACACATGCCCCACATATTACCTCTTCCATACATTTTTTATGGTTAAATTGATGAGAGGACCGGACGCGGTCAATTTATATTGTCTGCGAAGTGCAGTTCTGCAAAATCCAATTTGAAAGGTATGAAAGCATCGGAAGTGCCACTATGTGACTATTCATGTGGACCAAACGATGTTATTATCTGTTAATAAGAACTGAGTTTCTTTTAGTTTATACAGTTAGCTACATACATGATTTGACTTGCGAATTATATCGAGGATGTTGACCTGTTGAATTCCATTTCACCATAACCATTGGTTATTTGATCCTCTGCAGTCTAATGCCGAAAGCTCACACAGCCAGCGAGGGAAAGCCAAATATTGTCCAAGAATAGGAGGGGCTAATGGTTATGCCCCAATCTTATTCAGCATAGTTGTTATTAATATCATTCTTTTCATCAGTTCTGTTCTTCTTGGTAAGTGGTCTAAAACTTATGGACTCTCTCTCTCTCTCTCTCTCTCTCTCTCTCTCTCTCTCGTGTGGGGAAATGCCTTTCAGCACAAAAATGCGGCAATGCCTTTCCGCACAGCAGCAGAACCATGCCTTTCCGAAGGTGAGATACTAATTGTATCTTTATTGCGGCTTGTGCTAGCTCCTAATCTTCCAAAGCCCACTGCTGTTGTTGCACTTTCCGGATGGATTGGTGTTTCCATTGGAGTTGCATCTCTCCTAATGCTTGTTCGCTGTAGCAGGTAACTGTTTCTATATTTACTTAGCCAGTTATCCTCTCTGCCTCGTTTTGTAGGATCCCATTGCTTTCTCCATGGATACAAAGGAAACAAATGATATGTGATCAATTATCCAAATTTGTAGGATCCAATTGCTCTGTGCATGGATATTAGGGAAACCAACTTTTATGTGCCAATATTACCCTCATCAAAATCATAAAACGTTTCACATATGTGTCAAAAGTCAATTCAAATAAATACCACAACATCCAAGCCTTATTCCCAAAAGATTTTGGGTTAAAAGAGCCAAAAGAGAAGAAAGATAAGAAAAATAAAAAGATAAGGTAAGATAAAAATAACACAAGAGCATAAGAAAGATAAAAGATAAAAAGATAAAAGAACATATAAAAGATAAAAATAACATAAGAACATAGAAAATAAAGAAGATAAAAGATAAAAGAAAACGAGAGAGGGAGAGAAGAGAGATCAATTCAAAAATACTATAAAAGGGTAAAATGCAAAAAAAAGGAAAAAAGTTAGTGGTGTTTAGAAAAAAGAAATTTGACATAATTATGGAACTAACTAAAAGAGAAGAGAGACTTGTGACATGGGACAGAGGGAGTATGTGTTTTCTTTATTCAGAAATATATTGGTTTAAAGAAAATAGATACATATCCCGGGGACACGTGAATACTTTAACCTATGTTGGCTCTGAATGACTGTATCCCATGATTTGTGCTTGCCTATTTCAAGTTACTACTCCACTATGTACGCAGGAAGCTGCCTAAAGTTTCTATATTCTGTTTCTGATATGAATGTTTGATACATGTTGTTTGCAGTAAAGATCCAGGTTATCTCAAGACTGGGACTAGTAAACATTCTGATTCAGAAGTACTTAAACTCCCATCTTGAACTTGAATTCAAGTGCTTTTAAAGTTGTTGTTTTTCCTTACTTTCCTTGGGGCTACTTGCATAATTAACTGACAAGGTTACCAAACTCTCCAGGATACTTCGTTGAATATAGATCTGAGTAATTCTTCTGTTTGGACTGGGAACTGGTCTCAACTCTGCCCTCCATGCCAGGTTCCTCATCAACTTAGTATCTTACCGAATGAGATGCATTATTTTCTATATTTTTCTAAAGCTTTAAAGTTTCTTTCACTGAAGATAATAAGGCCGCTTCGCTCCAAGCACTGCAAGACATGCAACCGCTGTGTGGAACAGTTTGACCATCACTGCCCCTGGATATCAAATTGTGTGGGAAAGGTATAAGCCACATTGTTATTTTTGTTACCAAGTGAAATTGTACACATGCAAGCAGTAATTTTTTTTTGGGGGGGGGGGGGGGGGACACTCCCCTGTTGACCTTTCGTTTAGGCTTTATTTGGTAGATGTAGAGGAATTAGGAGATGAAGTAGGTAGAAGAGAAAAGAAAAGAAGTGAAATGGAGAGACATAACGTTTGCTTGGTTGGTTTAAAAAACTAAACAGGCAAATGAACTTACTGTAGCGAAATCAAGAGGACACTAATAGCCAAGGCAACAATTTCTTCTCTATTTCACCTACCTCAAACTCACAAATGTTATTGAAACTTATGATTCCCCTCTCCATTTCTCTCCCTCTAAAGTCTAAACACACACTTAGGGTGATGCACTCATTTCTGTGTGTGATGGGTTCAATACCGATCTGTGAAAAATGGCAATGAGTGGAATTTAGTAAATAGAATGTAGATGTATTTGATTTTCTTAGTGAATTTCAGAATTTGTTATGGACCACAAATGGCATAGTGGACTATTATATTCCATCCATTAAAAATGTAATAAAATTCATCCCATACTCTTTCAGTCTTTCACCTCTAGTCTAAATGTCATATAAACCTATGCAGAACATAACTTTTGCATTTTTTGGAAGGTAAGAAGAATGTTAAACATCTACCAGTATTGTTATTGCTTTGATATACACTTTTGCTTCGATCTTGATCCACCTGAACTTTACAGAGGAATAGGAGAGACTTTTTCATTTTCCTTTGCATGGGTACTATGACATCACTAATCGGGGCTGTTGTTGCCATACATAGTATGTAAAAATGTCCAGCTCATAATACTTCCTATGTTTAAAATTCATTCAAGGCTTTATGGTTATAATAGTAACCTAAATACCTAATAAATCAATTCATTGTTGAAGGAATCTGGATCCCTGTACCTGCATTAGGAGATGATGATGGTATATGGGTGCACCATTTGGTATTTGATCATCCTCTTGTATTCGCTTTTCTTTTTATGGATGGGGTTATTCTCTTTGCTACGTTCACTTTACTCACTGTCCAAGCATTTCAGGTATATGATTGTTATCTGTGTCTCTTCCCTTGATGGTTTTTAGTCTTCCGTAGTCATTATTTAAGCCCTTGTTTGGATGGGGGGAGCTCGGAGCAAGGTGATATTAATTTATTATTATAAACAATTTGATGCTTGATAAGAAAGTTAAGATGCAAAAGTGTATAGAATACATGATTTGATTATAGAGAAAATCTTGAAAGAAGGCTATGGGGGAGGGCGTTGCTTCATGCTCAATGTATCGATTTTGATTATCTGTCCAAATTCATTTTATTAGTTTGATGAGTTTGATTACATTGAGATTAAGAATTCTAGCATATGTAAAAATGTAGAAAGTTTTAACCGAATTTGATGCTCCATGTTTTTCAAGTAACAACTAACAACCAAACATAAAGTTCCTGTTTTGACTAGAAATTGCCATGGAATAGGAAGGAAAATGGATTAGGAAATATTTGGGTGAGAATAAAAGCCACGCTCGAACTCGAAAAATCATTATTTTATACCTGTTCAAACTTATTTAGTTTTTTTTTTTAAATTAAAACTAAGAAGCTTAAAGGTTTGTAAAAGATTTGAAAAAATAGTCTTATCTCATCTTCCTTTTTTCCTAGTAAAACCAATAAAAAGAAAATGACTTATGTTGACACTTTTTTGTTTACCTCCCCTTAGTATTTTCTGAGATCCGAACATGCCTTTAAGAAGCCTTGGTATTATTTCCTTTCCCTACAACTATCTGAGTTCCAAACATAGCCTTTGTGTGTAGGATCTTAGGCATACCTGCTTTGTGATTATGGAGCCTGGAAATTCACTATACCCTATGATTTTCTCTTTTCATGTTATGTAGATTGCACGGAATATAACAACGAATGAGTATGCTAATGCTGTCCGGTATGGATATCTTCGTGATCCTGATGGGCATTTTCACAACCCCAATGACCGTGGGTGTCACAAGAATTGCTCAGATTTCCTAATCCAAGGTTTCCTTAATGATAACGAGATTGCTTTGCCGCCTTTATCCCAGGCTGTCCACAAGATTTGACCTTTTTGCAGTTAGGAGATACATATGCTTGATGCCCCACATTGCCTATGCTTGTGTGATGTGTGCAAGCAATACATTTATCTGCTCCAATGATTCTTCTCTCACTCTGTACCTTCACAGAAATACACGTTAAAATAGTGTACTATAAACCGATGTGCATTTTTTTGCCCGTGACATCGTTATCTTGTTGTAATCTGAAGTTGGGAGCTAAGGTTTGGTTTCACATTGGGGTTATGCTCGTTCTTGTTATTTATATTTAGGGTAGAATGGCAACATCTTATTATCCGCGACATCTTATATTTCAAGGCTGTACATCTTGCACCGTACAGCCAGTGACATTTTGATAATTTAACTAAAATTCGCGACTTCCACTAAATGAGCATTAATTGTATGTTTGATGAGAACCAGATCTATTCTACTGAGCTACTTTGTTTTATGTTTTCTCGTGTACTTTCCCTTTCTCTCACTTCAATAAATTTTTATTTTTCCCAAAAAAGAGTATTCAGAGGCTACTAATGAGCATTGTGATATCGGTTTCATATCTTATAATTCAATTTCTTTTTTTAAAAAAATATTTACAATGAACCTGTATGAAATATAATGTAATATTATACTTTTGAAATATGCATGAATTTGACATTTTAAATTGAGTATTACACCAATATCAAATGAGCATACATGAATTACGAAATGAGTAATGAAAAAAATAAAAAAGCTCATTTAGAATCTCTATCATGCTCAAAATTCATTTGCGTATGCTCATATCTGTACAATTAAGTACTTCCTCCGTTCTTTTTTAGTTGCAACGGTCAACATTTCACACTTGCCAACGCACGTCTTTGACTGTAATTATATCTTAATCTCTATTATTAAACAAATTAAAAAACAGATTTTGAAAATTTGTAATGAAATGAATTGAACAATATTTAAAAAAAAAAATCTCATAAAATAATAGCGTAAAATGTAGTCAAAGTAGAATATGTGAATAGTGTAAAATTTAACATGTTGCGATTAAAAAAACGGAGGATAGTATAACTTAGGTTATTCCTAACCAACAACTACCACGCTCATATCTATACAATTAAGTATAACTTAGGTTATTCCTAACCAACAACTACCAAACTCAAAAAACCTGCTTAACAAAAAGAGAGAGAAAAACAGTGCAAAGAAAGAAGAAGGAGAGGCACTCGCGTCTCAGTATACACAGCTAAATCCATCCCAAAGCTCCATTGCGTCTAAGAAAGACAGAGCTCCATCCTAATGCAGATCCGAGAGGCGGGCAAACTATCCCAGTGGCAAGCAAAAGACATGATCAGAGAGGTGGAGGAGAAGAGATCGACTGTGTGAGCGACCTCTGAGGGACGACGAGCACTGCTCAGCGAACAAAAATCCCGATTGTACCGTGCTAGGATATATTTTGCGAGGCATCAGTGCGTGACTTGGCAAATGTATGATTTGAATTGTATTACTCTCTATTGGAGTTGATTTTTTAAATGGTCAACATAATTGATAAATCTAAGAAAGTTTGACATTGATATTGTCTATTAAAATACAACAGACATCCAAGACTTTTCCCAAAAAAATTGATATCGGCTAACATTAATCCGTCCATGATATCAGCTTCATAAAGAGAAGAGAGACAAGAAAGAAAACGAGGTAAGATAAAATGAATAAGATGATGGTACCATGGATCGCAGCCATGGTTCAAGTATAACCCACAATCAAGCCAGTCTGGACAGCAGATCTCGAGCCCGAACGGGATTCTAATGAGGTCGAGCTCATCTTAGGGCTTATGTGACAGACTATCATTTATGCATAGCTATCTGACAGTGGTATGAAATAACGGAAGAGACGTGGACCTAGAGAAACAATGATTGCACAATGTTCGAGACGTTACATGACTTTTATTATAATTAAATGCATTATATGTATCAGTTTCCTCATAGAATATTGAACATAAGGTCTATAAATACTTCATGTACACATCCTACAATTTTTTTAACCCAGTGTTAATCCACCTTATGGTGGGGTAAGGGCCGAGGAACACCTTACCTGTTTATTAAAAAAGTAAGCAATACATGGTAGGGGGACTGTACCGAAATTCCGGAATAATAGTATTGCATTATGCTGCCTAAGTTTCATCTGCTCTCGTAGACTAGCTCACTCCATCACTTGGTTCTCTCGTTGAGAGAATGATTTACGACGACGATGGTTGGATCACACAGTCACAATCGTGCTAGAAGCAGCCAAGGCGGTGCTCGAATGGATCAAGTTGTGATTGAAGACGAAGGGTCTCGCTCACGTCAAAGTGATTTCTGGAGAAGGAACAACAATGTGGTGACTCCGGACGACTTGAGGAACCGTCTGCATGGTGTTGGGAGCTGTAGGAATCCTACAACATGCCCGACGTTGTTCCGTACGTCGGTGACTGGGAATACCGTTCCAGACGTGGATTTCGCGCAAACTTTGTTTTGTATGGCAACATTCCAGAGGGTCGTGGAAACCTTAACCACCGCCTTCCAAGGGATAGTTCCCAACACTAACGAAAGACCTCCTTCCTCTCATTGTGTTCCATATGTGCCATAACGGGGGGAGGAAGAGGCGATATCTGCGTGACGTCAGAGAAACTCACCGCCAGCAAGATCTCAGCGGTCCCATCATGCAAGGCTGACCCCGAGGGCTTCCGTTATGGACCGGATTGGCGGTCGGAGGAGGGTTTCCGCGCATGACAGGCTCTCCTCTAAGGTGGAGCGAAGCGATGAAGCATCTTCCGTAGCCGTTCCATCCCACTGTAACACCCCGGCCCCTCAGGACCTGAGGTAGTTACTCCAGGGGGTCACCCATCCCAGGACTACTCCCGTGCAAGCACGCTTAACTTTGGAGTTCTTGGTGATGAGCTCCCTTAAAAGGAGATGCATCTTGTTGGTATGAGTAGTACTATTAATCCGTTTAAATTAAATCTCAAGTGTTACAACCACCCCCACTTAGGAACGTAACGTCCTCGTTGCGCCCAGGGGCGTAGCTAGGGGGTGGCCACCCCTGGCCCTGGCCCAGCCCAAATTTTAAAAATGTTTAAATTTTTAGTGTAAAAAATTCTGTGTAAATTTTTTTCAAAAATATTCTTTGTACCGGCCCAGTCCGGCCCAGTGTCCTGGCTCCGCCCCTGGTTGCGCCCATAAACCAATCTCAAATCTCAACCAAATCCCATAATCTTCCCCCACTAAGTGCCCGCCTGATATCCAACAGGTCTGCACACGGTCGCAGGGTTGCTCTGATAACGCCTGGAACATCCTGGCCCCTCAGGACCCGAGGTAGTTACTCTACATACTCTCTAGACCTCTACTACTGTCCTCACAAACCGTCACTAGCCTTTTCCGCACACTTTGTCCTCACTCGTGCGCGTCCTGAGAAACTTCCTAAGGGGTCACCCATCCCAGGACTACTCCCGTGCAAGCACGTTTGACTTTGGAGTTCTTGGTGATGAGCTCCCTCAAAATGAGATGCATCTTGTTGGTATGAGTAGTACTATTAATTCATTTAAATTAAATCTCAAGTGTTACACCCACTGTCGCAGTGCGTGTGGGGGAGAACTCAGAAATGAGATCATCGAACATCGGCGAGCCCACGGAGATCGCACCTCCCCACCTCATGTCCAGGTCGGCCAGGACAATGACTACTTCAGAAGGTGACCCAATGAGCTTAGAAGGGCGGTAGATGGCAGGATCAATCTCAACCATGATGTGACGATTGTCGAGCCATTTGTGCGTCAGATCATGGATGCTTTGTTGTCACATGGGTACAAGCCTTGCAATATTGAGGCCTACCTAGGGAAGATCGACCTCCAACACTATGTTTCAAGGTATATGACCTACGTACATGGTGATGATGGGGTACAATTATGCAATCAGATGCCAAGGATTTTCTGTAACCCCAGACGGGCCAACCAGGGAATGATATGACTCCTTACCTGATGGAAGAATACAAAACTTTCGGGAGCTAGCCCAGGCGTTCATCGCACGAGTTACCAGCTCAAAGGACTCCAAGAACTTCTCTCTCCAATATCGTAATTTGACTTAAAATTTTGTGCAACGTTGGGCATGCAAAGTTGTACAAGGTGCTACAACTTGTAATAAATCAATAATCAAATCACACCATCTCTGTAATAGGTAAATGCCGCTTTTTCTCATAACGTTGTCGGAATTAGTCATAATAAGATATTCGTGATTGTCAAAGGTGTGCGCTTATAACATTGTCTATAGTATTTTTCAAATTGTCGGTAGTGCTTATAACATTGTCTGTAAAATTTTGCAAATTGTTGATGATGCTTATAACATTGTAATCTTTTGCAAATTGTCGGTGGTGCTTATAACATTGTATGTGTTTTTGTTGCAAATTGTTGGTGTGCTTGTAATAATGTATGTGTTTTCTTTTTTTGCAAATTGATGGTGCGCGTATATAACATTGTATGTGATGAATTGTATCATTACTTAAATATTCACTTACAAATATACAAAAACGAGCATCATATTGTAAAGCCACACTATTTAAATATAGAGAAAAGTGTAAAATCGGCCCTCGTACTTTGTACGGAAAGTCAATTATACTCTCCTACTTAAAGTTTCTTCAATTAAGCCCTCAAAGTATGTTATCTTCTTCAAAACCTCTTTTTAACGGATTAACTCCCGGTTTCCCTTTAGCGTGCTGACCTGACATCCTACGTGGATCGGAAGTCATTTAAGATTTTGTGTGTAATTGACGTGGAAATGCCTTGTACATTTTAATTGTCCCTCCCTCTTACTCGATACATTTCCCATTTTCTCGGACTTCAACGGAATCGACATAGACATTTATGTTTCAGAGCAATCATTCGAATGGTAGTAAGGGTGGAATCAAATTGTTGGTGAACTAGATCGAAGTCGAACGTTGTTGAGTAGCTGAAGTCGGTACCGCAATGCAAGTAAGTATTAATTTGAAATGCGTTTTTGCCATCGATTAACGTGAAATAGGGTTTTTGTTTCGTCGATTAAAGATGTTGAAGTGTTTCATTTATGTGTGTTGATGTGTTTATTGTAGTTGATGTGCGTTCTTGGTGTGCGGAATTGAAAATATGCAAGTAATTATGATAAGTCCGTATTTTGACACGCATTTGATGCGTGTTGAGATCGGATTTTGATGGTTTTCCTAGCTTTAAGGCATCATAAGTCTCAATTCAAGCTCAAGTCATAGTGTACTGGGCGTTGGTTCGAATTTGGTATTTTTTTAGTCAAAATCAGGGAATTTGAGCCCGATACCGGCACATGAGAAGCAATCGGGACGAGTTGAGATGCAATCGAGAGAGAATTTAGAGATTCCGAGGTCACGGGGAGGTTCACAACAAAGTTTTGAAGACAAAAGAGCTATAGAATTGGCTATGGGGTCAAAA